ATAAAGCTAGTTTCACACCCATCCCCGGCCAGCTAACTAGCACACCCCACCCGGCCGGACGATCGACATCCAGCTACGTGCTAGCAAGCCCTGCCCCCTCCCGGGGGTGCGCGTTCGCAGGGCAAGGGCCTTAAAGTAAACACAGTTCTCCGAGGGTTGGACCCGCGTACCGGGTTTCCCCTTAACTGCAGGACGCCCCCTCTACTCGGAGCTAGTGGACATTACACTGGACACCACGCCCAAACAGACACTTGCTTAGTCCTTGGTCCCGGGGCTCCACCTTCGGTCCTCCCGGGGCTCCGGTTCTCCCCGATTCGCTCTCTTGCTCGCTTGCCGAGCGTCATACGACGGCCGGTGTGGTCGTTTCCCTCGTTGTTGGTGTCGCTTCCTCCGCTGCCGCCTTTCGTCTTCGCTAGCCTCTCCCAGCTCCACCGGTTCTGAGAGTGTCGGCGGCCCGGCCGGGGTCACCCCGGGTGAGAACGGTGGCATTGGGTCGCGACCAGTTCCACCCCCGGGGGGTCGACAACCCTCGGAGACCCGTGTTTACTTTACGGCCCTTTCCCTGCGAACGCGCACTACCCCTAGGGGTCAGGGCTCTCTAGCCCGTAGCCCGATGCCGATCATCCGGCCCGCTGGGTGCGCTTCTTAGCTCCCCGGCCCTGGATGTGAGGTTAATGACTGCACTCCAAGTGCTCCAAGTGTAAGGGCTAGGGTGGGCGACGGCTAGCACCACACTCCTCTCCTTAAAATCCCTGTGTGGTGGCGGCGTGCCGTCCTCCCATCCCTCCCTTGGGTTGTCTGTTTTCTTTCTTATTTTCATCGCCGTAGCTCGGAGAGAGAGAGTTGTTTTGTTAGCTCGGTGAAGAAGAAAAATAGTTGATAAAATTGCAGTTGCTCTCAGGTCTCAGCGGCGTCCAGCACCCGGATCGATTGCCATTCGCTGTCGCTTGACCTTGACGCTTGAGCGAGCCGACTCGGAAGCCGATGAGCCCGGTGACGGCGGCGGCGATGTGTCGATCAAGGGTCTGGCAATCGTAGTCATTGGAAGGGACGATGCGCGCGTACTGTGGAGAACTGAGCGCTGCCAGAGGTTTTGTACAAAGCGACGGCAAGCAGGATCAGGCCTGCGCGACTGCGCGGATGCTCCACATATGAGTCGGGCTCGCTCGGGCAGCCTCGGCGAAGAAGTCTGACTCCTTGGTGGCGCTTGGCTGCGCAACTAGTTTTCATAGTTAAAAGTCCGGCGATTTCGAAGCGCCCGTGGCGGTTCGCGCGAGAAGGAGGGAGAGCGTTCGATTGAGGGGGCTCACGGCAAGGTCGCAAGGACACCGACCGAGGGGGGGGTCGGTCGTCACACCTCCCGCCGCCGAGAGAGCGACCGACCGGAGGGGGGGTCCGGTCCACATCGGGGGCAGACCACCGACCGGCGGGGGGCGCAGTGAAACCACCCCCTTCCCAACCCGCTCAGGGACGGACGCATTTCCCCCCTTTCAAAGGCGGTTCGAAGTTGATGAGACCTCCTCCCCCCCTCTCCAATGAAAGCGTAAAAAGAGGCGCCGAACGGGCAGGAAGCGGACGGAAGCGGACGTGGGTCACACAATGGCAGCGCTCCAGACGCGCTCTGGTAGCTGCCAATGAAGCTGTAGCCCATCGCGCGCCGGACGGCCACTGCACCTCTACTGCAGTGCCCTCCTGCACCGAGCGACGCGTCAAACCTTTGTTGCTGCCCATGACCGGCGGCGGCTCCGAGCTTGGGCGAGCGAGCCCTGGCTGAGCTGAGCTACTGCGGTCGCAATGCAGCGCTGCGGTCGGTGCAGAGTGGCCGTGCGCGTACGGCGTCGTACGCGCACGGCCGCTCTGCCTCAGTGGCGTGCGGCTTGGGCCAACTGAAGGTCGCTCTCCGACCTCGCTCGCCGAGCTCACAATTCGGCGCGAGCCGTATCGAGTGGAAGTTCGACTTCAGCTGCCGCGAGTGGATGGACTGCCTTGTCGAGTGCGAGCAGTTGGGCTCCGCCGGGAGCTTGTGGTGCAACATGTTCTCTGGGGGCCAGCAGACGCAAGCGCGCGAGCGCGTGTTGAAACCGGACGCTCCACAGCAACACTCAAGATACACTCGAAGGGGGGCACACGTTTTTTTATTCGGGTTCGGGGCCCAAGAGTACACTCTTGGCGACGAAACCGAAGCGGGTTGGCCCCGGGGTGGTTTCACTGCGTGTGCGAGTTATGGGACACGATGTCTCAAATATGAGGGGTTTTGACTCCTACCGGCTCCTGACGCTATCCCTGGCAGCTCTAATGACCAGGATCAGTAGTGCTATGATAGAGGCTGCCCATACTAGCGCAGGAGCTGCCACACTCGCCCGGACCGTCCCCCTCTGGGGCCGGTTCCGCAGCCCGCGAGAGCCGACAGCGGGGCCGTGCCGCGGGTGCCTACTGCCGAGTGCCACAAACACTGCGCCGTCCCGCCACCACCTACAGGCTGTCTTGTGTGATGGTTG